CTTTGTTTCCCGTGCGCGTGTATTAAATATATGTATGCGCTTGTAACCAGTGGTTACCTGTTCTTGTGTACGCTCTTTCATTCTGTTTTTCTTACATATGTGTGGCTCTCACCCTCGCTTTACGTAAAAAAAAAAAATTAAAAAGTCACATTTACTATTTTCCATTTACAGCATTTCCATGTAAAGCATCAAAGCGTTAGTCGGGACGCGCCTGCTTTCATGTGAATCTGCTACTTTCTCTGCAGCTTTTATGCTATTTTAATAGCCAGCGCATGCACAAAGCAGAAAAGTAGCGAACCGACAGACACAATCACACATGTAGAACGCTCGCCAAAGTGATATAGAAGCGCACAAAGCAACTGCAGTGCTTTGGTTGGCACTACACACAAATACATGTGTGTTAGCCATCATTAAGACCTCACAACTTCAGCGAGCGCCCTGCACGGCTCTCAGCTGCTGCTTAAACTAGTTCTTCACAGCTCTGAGCTTGCTTCTGCAATTTATTTTTTCTTGTTGTTGTTGCTGTTTTAGCAATAGTTTCTTTTAGCGCCTTGCAACGCGTTGTGTTAATGCATTTTTTAATGCTCCACTCTACACTCCACCGCCCTTTATGGCACCACAAGCCGCGCTCTGCACAGCTTCTTTTCGCTTTTAGAGTTTCAAACGCGTGTTTTTTTCTTCAATTACTTTCTGCTGCTCTATAGCTTTACACTGCAATCGCACTTAAGGCGCGCGTGTATTTTTTTTTTTTATTTTTTCTGTTCTTTTTTGTGCGCCACATATGCCATTAGTGCGTTCATTGTAGAGAAATACATGCATGGTTTGACATGCGCGCTGTATGCGCAATGTATCCCGTTGCTCGTGACGTGTGATGGCTGGCAACGCCTCGGCAGCCACACATCATGGCGAGTTGGTGGTATGCGCAGCGCGCGCGGCTGAAATCGCTGTTAGTTTAATGCTTGTGCAACGGAAAGTGATCATTTCTCATGGCTTTCCGGCTGATTGCGTGCTGGGTTTGGGATTCAGCACAACTTGTGAGTAAAAATAACGGTCAGAACAGGATATTACTGCTCTCACTCACCGTATATGAAGTTTGCACCCAAGATGAATGTAAGCAACGCTTAACTCATTTCAATCTACTCGAATTTGCTATATACTTTTGGTATCTTTAATCAAATATCAGTCAAAAGATCAAAAGCAAAAGTCGGATACTTCGGAAGTGAGATTTAGAAGTCCAAGCCCTCTCTCCTCCTAATAATCTAATTCTATAGCGTCCTTAAATATGTTAAACACTTCCTTAGATTCCGCTCTAAATTGCTTTTACATAAAATGCATTTTTCTAAATGCATGACTAGATGACTAGATCCTTGGAATATGCGTCATATTACCTCCGAACGATAATTGATAATTTTAAGGAACCATGTCACGTCACTTTAAGATATTTAATTTTCACTCTAAACGTGGTTCAATATTGTGACTTTCCTAATGCCACAAATTAGATCCAACATTAAAAATAAGTTTAGTAGTGTTCTGGAAGTTCCCAAAACAAGAGCTCTTGTAACTAGAAGAAGAAGAAGAACTGTGATCGATATCGTTAAAAGCTTATAATTATTAACAATCTCTTAGCGTCTCGATGCACTTTGTTGGAAGTAGTTTTGTAAACCACCTGAAAAAATAAATTTATCGAAAAATTTTAAATATTTGTATCTAAAACTAATTTATAATTAATAATAGAATAAAATTTGTCTAAAATAAATATTTCACATTTTTTTGTCAAGCATTTTTTAATATTTTTTTTGTTGATTTAATTGTTTTCCTTTTTTTAATTTTCTAAAGCGCTAACATAAGTAAAAATTTAACTTTTAAATTGTTTTGCAAAATTTTATAATTTGAATAGTAAGAAAATGAAAATTTGTCCAATATAAATATTTTAAATTTTTTATGATTTTATG